CCCCCCCCCCCCCCCCCGGTCCCAGTGCCCACCGTCTCTAAATATATTTATCGACTGCGAAAGATTTATATGAATCGTAGTTTCTCTATAGAGCCCTTGCATTCGAGATTAATTGGTCATGGGGATTTTCGTTTTTATTTCGGTGCCTTCCGCGCAACTGGTCGAGCGGTCAGCAGTTATTTTTACTTGAACAGCTTGCTGTCTGCTTGAAAGGGGATTGTTTGTTCTGTCTCTGGCTGCACCTTTCGTAGCGTCACGTCCGTAGGAACAACATTTTTATGAAAGCCAAAATTGACCAAAGTTTTCTGATCGCCTTCCATTCCCGAAAGTCCAACTTTTTCCTCTTTTACATAGACTTCGGAACCATAACTGAAAGCTGAATCGTTGTATTCATCTGGCGTACCCCGCCGACGACACGCTGGGTACAGGATACCAAGCGATACTACGATTCCACCCAGAGATAGCACCGTTAGACCGGATAATATAAAAATTTCAATGTAAAAGTTAATATTATCTATATCTTCTTTCTCCTGAGGAGTAAGTCTTTGTCGTTCGGAGTAAGTGTAGGATTTTTGAGGCAGCGTGAAGCCCATGATAAGGGCGAACACTCCAAGTATTATCAATAATAAACCAAATATAACTCCCCAGTTGCATTTGGCGTCTTTTGAGCCATGCTTTGTGACTTGAAAACTAGCACAGTCACAACATTGTAATGAATTTTGGTTTTGTTCGTACATTTGTTGATGAAAACCCCTGATAAGACCAAACCTAGATCCCTGCGGCACACCAGTGTCTTGAACATTTGATCCATTGTGCCAAGGTGGTAAATAGTTCTCGTTTGAATGATTGTACTGAAGATAGCTGGGATGTGTCGAAGGTACTTCGCTATAGCTTGGCAGACGAGGATAAATGTGTTGTCCATCCCGAAGCGACTCGGCCGACTTTGTCACTTTTTCCTCACCGTGTCGAAAAAGATCGTTTGAATTTCCTCGATCGTTCGGCTGATCTTTGCTCATAATGAGTTAAATTCTCATGAAATTAGTAATGAAATATCCTCGAGAAATCGAAGTTAGATGATCCATTAAGTTCGTAGTTTTGAGCGGCCGTATTATCAAAAACCTTTTATCTCAAGTCCTACTCATGTTTTCGCTTGGTAGTAAACGCAATTTCAATTAGCTGATATTATCGTTAATATCAATCTAAATATTTTCCCTTGTGACCGTTGGTATAAACCTGTTTGCCAGTGGGATCGATATCCACATCGAAATATCCTTCTTTATCGAAGCATCATTCAGTTCATGGTAATATTTTACTTGGTCGAGGGAGCTAGTGATTCAAAGAAACACATCAGCTGTTATCTCAGTCGCTCCAAGTCTTTGGTCTCCATGGTATTATATCTGGCCGTATGGAATGCACCTGCTGACGTGAATAATTCATGTTTTCTGACCAAAGGCAGGTCTCCAGCCACTGATTGGTTTAAATTGAGCTAATTGAGGTTTGGTGATCGGTCACTTATCAACGGAAATCACTTAGTAAAAACAACACTAGTGTTATTGGTGAAGCTTGGTGATCAAACAGCTATCATTATGATTTACAAGTAATTTAGACTGAATAGAAGCTTGTCTGGGACAGAGATATAATCAAACCACGAACGAAGTCCTTAATAACTTCTTGTTTGTGGACTGACCAACGGATTAAATTATTCCGACAGATAATAATAAACGGTTCAAACATATTTTTTACTAAATCTGCATCACCAAGCACAACAGTGACTAAACTCGTAGCCACTTGTTGACGAAATACTAAAATCGAAATTGAAAGAAAAACCGGAAGTTATTGCTACAAAGAAAATATCATTTCCTTACATGCATAGTGTTGGAATATTCCTTTCTATTTCTTTGCTTCTTGCTCATCAATTCTTTAAATTTTCATTAAGTTTGATATTATTTTCAGTCAGTTCCTTTTTGGTTAATTTTGTGGTCTCAGTTAGTAAGACGTATTTTCCATAGTACATGCAGGGTTATATATACCGGAGAGGAGGGTGTTGCACTGACCTCTTGAATACCTTTTCCAACCCCAGTTCAAAGGACAAAACCATGAGCGAAGTAAATTTGTTAAAGATCTGAAATTCACTGCTTTGCCCTTCGAATCATTGAGCTGAATTAGGAATGTGCTGCAAGAAGAATGATCTAGATTTATATATACAACTACATGTGGTTGCCAACAAGAGAGGTATCCACGTCCATGTTGGTTGATGTATATGATCAGGAATACGAGAAGATACTCACATTCGTTAGGAAACGTGTCCAACAAGTGGGATTTTATCATATTTGTTTAAAAGTTTATTAAAATTTGTATATAAAACTATAGAATTAATTATTATTTTGGAGCTCGGAATTTTTCTGGAGAAAATTTAGCTTGACGAAATATAATTTACATCCACCAAATCAGTTTTATAACTGAAAATTAATGCTATCTTTTTACATATTTAAAACCACACAAGCTGTGCATGTGAGCTCGAGTCAAACTATGCGACGAGATAATCTTTTCCTCTTTATTGCTTCCTCGCCTTCCTGCATCAATTGCTTTGCGCGAAGTGTTGCATACAGAAGTTACTAGTTGGACTGCCACATTAAAAAACACTAGAAAAGATGTATGTATCTTTGAATAGCGTGCCTGAGCTACGAGTTAGCCTGATGTCAAGAACTCATTATATCCTATTTATACATCTTAAATTTGAGACATGCATATTTGTACCTCATTACATGAAATTTGATCGAGATGTTCTTCTGTTCCAGCATCAAGCACAACACGCAAGATTTTAGGCTGAGTTTCGGCGGAGCTTATCGACTCCATATTTCAACCATCACAATCCTGTGCGTTGCGCGCGTTATTCTTTTGTACTTCGCATTACTTCTTTAGGCGAATGATGTCTTTTCACTTCAGACCACATTGCATTCTCTTTAGTATTACTTCTATGCTTACCTGTAATACTAGTGAAAATTGATTAATGTAAGTCAAACAATTAACGATTTGATTTTTATGAGAGCGGGTTTGAAATATAGTTCATATTATCTTGTAGTTACTATTAATTGTTAAATGATTCTAAAGCATATTGAAGGATTTATCGTCCGCTTTTCAGCTTTGACCCTCATTTTCGTTGCAGCCAACCATCTATAACTGCGATGTTCTGCACCTCTGGTGTCTATAGGTATTCGTATAAGACAGTTCAATATTCTAATCTGTTGTCAAGCCATTTGAATTGTCTTCTAACAGTAGGACTGAGGATACCTCGTTTCATACATACAACTGGGTAAATATTCAGTTGGTTGTGCAGCAGGCTGCTCTGAAAACAACTGACATCTTGCTGGCCATTTCTAAAGAAATGAAACAAAAAGAAGAAGTTGCGGTACACAAATGTGAGACAAGCTCAAAACCAAAGCTTTGCAGCCCTATCTGTTTCACAACCATATACCACAGACGATAGTACTATAGTATATCCCGGGTTGATTTTCATGGACTCCTCCTGATGGAACCATGAGTTGTAACTCAGGCTTATAAATCATATGTCCTATTGAATTGATGGGTTGCAAGCATTCCCAAGAGAGTTAAAAAAACAAAAACATGACGGCCATTGTGATATCGTTAACAATGGATGCTAATGAGAAATCTTTTGTTAAATGGTACCAACATGGCCGCGATGACGTAACGTGCAAACCAAGAATGCATCGCATGCACCGTGTATATACACTGTATAACCGGCGCATATCGACCTCTGTACTGTATGCATACGTATCGGCTCCACCAATGAGCTAATCAAATGTTTTGTTACATTAAATGTTATATATTTGAACACGAAAAATTGGAGTAGGTAAGAAGTCAAGAAGCCAATCAAGCGACTTCACTCACTGACCCCACCCGCCC